ATATATATATATATTAAAATATATAATATTTATATTTTTCTTTAATTAGCTGTATTATTACAATTTAAATATAATGTATTTTCTTTCCAAATTAAACTCACAAAATTCAAATTCAAAGGAAGGAATTATTTGATTTATTTTCTTGGGTCCCACTATCACTACCTTGTCGGCGAACCAAAAATAGAACACAAAAGGAAAATTTTCTTTTTCTTGCCTCTGAGCGCTTTTTCGGTCAGGAGACCTGAAGGTCCGCATGGTAAGCTGACCAATTAAATGTTGCCGCGTGAAAAATGTGGGACCCGCTTGTCCACGTAATTTAAAAAAAAAATTAGTTGAAGGCCGACCCGGCCCGGCCCGCATCTTTTCGAGTATCCCGCCTTTTAAAATGTCAAGGAAGACGTTTCGAAAATACTCTCCGGTGGTTTTTCTTCTACGTTTTCGCCGCTCGCTCTGCTAGGGTTTCACATTTCCCTCGTTCGATAGCTTCGAAGCCGTGAGACGATGACTTTTGATGATCCGGAGTATGCGCAGGCCAAAGAGAGCTCAAAAACAGTATCAGAAGAGGCTGAGAAGACAGAGGTTGAGCAGCCAATGAAGTCAAAGAAGCAAAGGAAGGAGGCGAAGAGGATGAATGAGGGCATTGAAGGGGAAAACTTGTCCTGGTAATTGTCATCGTTTTATTCTCAGGTTATTTTTAGGTTATTAGTTTGATTATTATTGAGTTATTCTTGAGTTACTCCAAAACAAGTACTTATTGGCAGCTATTCCATGTTATTCATGTGTTATTTTTAAATTATTTATAGGTTATTTATAAGTTAGGCATATCTTATTCTCTGGTTAAACCTGGGTTATTTTTAGGTTATTTTTAGGTTGTTTGTAGGTTATTTTTCAGGTTATTCGTAGGCTATTCTTGGGTTATTTTTAAGTTAACTCGTGGGTTATTTTTAGTTTATTCTCAGGTTATTACTGGGTTATTTTTAAGGTACTTGCAGGTGATTTTTAATTTATGCGTACGTTATTCGAGGTTATTTCTGGGTTATTTTTATGTTATTTGCAGGTTTATGCGCATGTTATTCATTGGTTATTCCTAACGTATTTTTAGGTTATGTCAGGTTATTTGTAGGTTATTTGTACGTTATTTTTAGTGTATTGTTTTGTTAATTTTGAAGTAATGCGTAGGTTATTCCTGTGTTATTTGTAGGTTATTTTAAAGTTATGAATTGGTTATTCTTTGGTTATTCCTAGGTTATTTTTAAGATATTATTTTATTAATTTTTAAGTTATGAGTAGGTTATTACTAGGTTATTGCTGGTTGATTTTGAGGATATTTTTAAGTTATTTTTAGGTTATTCCTAGGTTATTCCTGGGTTATTTGCAGGTGATTTATAAGTTATGCGTAAGTTATTCGTAGGTTATTCCTAGGTTATTTTCAGGTTATTGCTTTGTTAATTTTGAAGTAATGTGTGGGTTATTCCCGGGTTATTTTTAGGGTATTTTTTTGTTAATTTTGAAGTAATGCGTGGTTTATTCCTGGGTTATTTGTAGGTTATTTTTAAGTTATGCATAAGTTATT